TGTCGTCAGATCAATGCACTGCAATGACAGTTATCATGCTGAAATTATACCGGTTGACATTGCAATTAATAATTTAATTGTAATTGCATACAGAGTCGGTACCAAGCAGGAAAAGTATGTAATTCCGCAATGTGCAATTTTTTTTTGCATTATTAAACATACCGAAAAAATATTCAAATCAGAGTATGTTATTCAAAGCTCGCTTTGAACAATTGCAACACAATATGAGATAACATTTTATTTATTATTTTATGTGCTTAAAATATAAAAAAAATTAAAAAATCAATATATACACATGTAAGAATTATTCATTTTGTGCGTATTTCTAGTTTTTAAATGTTTTTATGTTACGTAAAATTATAAGTAGATATCTATCTCAAATTTTGTTGCAAATTAATTGTCTGAAGTAAATTTAATATGCAATATGTCTATAATTTATAAACTATTTCTTTTCTACTACTATTTCTTATAATATTTAATATAAAATAATGATATTATTAATTTTGAAAAAATTCGTAACGTTTAAATTTCTCTTTTGCCAGCTTACAATTGCCATTTATAGATCAAAGAGTATACCCGTGTTCAACGTAACGCAAGGCAGAATAACAGAGGCCAAATTCGGTGAGATACTTGAAATGGGTAGGCGTGTTTTTTTCAAATATCCTTTTGAAGGACAGATTTGGTATCCTGACGGCAATATACGTAGCAACAAATTTGTGCACAATTTATTCGTCTTCTTTTTTCACATTATACCCGCATACCTTATCGACTTCTTGATGCTGATATTCCGACAAAAAAGATTGTAAGTTCTGAGTACTCTTTATAAAAATGTTTATCCATTAATCATTACTCATTACATAATGTTTTTTATAATGTTTTATATAATGACATAATATTATGTGATCTATTTTATTTGTTATCTTCTTTCTTTTCGTTCTTTCTAACAGTATGGTCAGAATCCAGAAACGAATTTCACATGGGCTCGTAGTACTGGAATATTTTACCACGAAGGAATGGATATTTCATAATCGTAAGGTATTAACTATGTTCGACGAAATGTTGCCAGAGGACAAAAAAATGTTTCGCACTTATGTCGAAGCTAATACTGACAAAACGGAGTATTTGAAGACTCTTGTTCTGGGTGCTCGACAATACTGCATGAAAGAAGACTTATCTTCCTTGCCGAGAGCCCGTCGGCATCAAAAAATGTGAGTATATTTTGCATAAATTTATTCTATGTTATATGTTTCTGTGCAAAAAAAACAGTTCCACAAAATTTATTCAGTCGCAGTTTAGAAATGTTTAAAATGCGAAACAATGTTTGAAGGTTTCAATAAATAGAAGAATGGTGAATACAGTTAAACATACCTTGCGTAATCTTGATATTCGTAAGAAGTTTCTACATTTCTTGAACGACAATTGCGTATTCTCAAGAGAAACTGAATTTTCATTGTGAGATAAGATCATTAATATAAGCGTAATATGTGAAAGTTAGGATGAAAGAAAATAGTAAAAAGAACTAACGTTGTTTAAATATTTCTCTCGTTTAAATGTTCCCTTCTGACGCTGCACATACATTTCTATTTTCTATTTCAGCTTGCATTGAATTTTTACGTCTAATCGCAATACAGTAGCAGTCAAATATACTTTACTAAAAATTAAAAAAAAATATTTACCAAATTTGTAGATTTACTAAAAATTAAATCTCATTAAAAAAATTAAATTTGCAAAGTTTAATTAAAATTTATTTACATTAAATTAAATTTGCATCAATAACATTAAAATTTAACTAAAATTGACTTAAATTATATATTTTAATTTTTTATTTTTTTTTTATTTGTATGCAACTTGTCGAAAATTTGCTATCATAAAATTCATCGTATATGTAAAATTTGTATGTTTCAGAATGTATGTTGTTCATATTACAACAGTGTACCTATTTTATTTCGGTATATCATATTATATTTACAACAACTTTGAGATAATGAAAATCAGTCTGGATTACATCACGGAGAAATTGAAATTGCTACCGATTATAGGCGGATTTGTGGAGCAGGCACATTTATAAGAACGCATTCTTTTTATGTTTACCGCAACATACATACATAATTTACAATGCAACTAACAAAAAGCAGAAGGATAATCCATTTGACACTCCTTTTGACTTTATAATCCAATAATTTGTTTAGAGTTTTTTGAGCTACTTGTAACTTTATTCCATAGAACACATATTACAGGCTGGAAGGTAATTTCAATATATTATCAATGTAAATACTTTATTGTGACTGTTGATATTAGATATAATTTTAAAATAGAGACAAAAACTTGATTGTGAAAATTATAAAATTGGATGATCTATATTAGTTCAACCAAAAAGTGAAGGTGTGCTATTTTAAAAAGATTACTGACTTTGATTGGCGAAACATATGTGTACAAGTTTATTTGTAATTCAATAAAATGTATTACTGCATTTCATATAGTACGCATATATTTATGAATATATTCACTGCAGTCATGATATACATACATAAAAATGTGTGTTGCTTGCACTGAGAGAAAAATCCGGTTAAAATTGATCGGAAAATCCATTCAAAAAGTAACAAACGGATATTATTGATCTCTTCAATCGGAAAAAATAACCGATGAAGACTGAAATAACCGATCAAAAATATCCGATTAGAAAATATCCGTTTGTTACTTTTTGAACGAATAGTCCGATTATATTATGTCCGATCAATAGATCTAATCGGAATCTGATCGGAATCTGATCGGAATTTTCCCCTTAAATATACCAATTAATATTAATATTAATTTGTATTACTTCTTCTTCTACTTTGTAGTTCTTCAAGAACAGTTCTAACTGTATTACAATTTCATTTCTTTCTACTTCTTAATAATTGACACGTAAT